TTAGGTCAGTAGAAAAAATGTTTTGCTAAACTAAACTCAATTTTAAGAAGTGTACATATTATTTTCATCATGAGTGTACATATGTATATCCTCCCATTGAGGCGTGGCAAACGGCTAAAGTTTATATCTCCTAAAATATATTAGCTAGAAGCTTCTAATTTGGATAGTTAATTTAGTAGTAAGCTCCTCTATCGATGGCCCAAAAATTAATTTTACGCGTCTTGATGGGCGTGGCTTATCGAAAAATACTCTGTATTTTCACATATTTTGAGCTTTTTCTAAACACAGACCAAAATGAGGTGTCTACGCTCAGTAGGGTCGTGGCAAATCGAGAAAAGCTGAATTTTCTACAGTATTAGAGCTAAACATAGCTACTAAATTCCTGACGTTACAAAATGAAAATTATATAGTCAATATGTGTAAAGCTAAGAACATATGAAACACATACTCATTGGAATATGTACTCACAATGAAAACAATATACATATAATTTATATTAGTTATAACTACGCTCATTCGAAGCATTTACAGAATCTTCTACAGGTTTTTTTTTTATAAACCTTATCCTAGTAAATCGTCTTGATTCAGAAACTTGAGTTCTAGATATTATAATAAGTTGTTTAACTTGAAATAAGTGAAGAGCATCTTGAGCACAAGTGGAGAGTTAACTAATATGGCAAGTCTTAGTCATTGATAATCTACTTGAATGCCTTACTTTATTGAAAATTTGTGTACAAATATTTTCCTAAAAGTTGTGTAACTATGGCTAGACAAACGTGGAACAAATTTAAAAAAACTTTAGGATTTCATTTAATGACAACAGCGAAAATTCCCCACTGGGAAGACAAGTGGTTATGGCTTTCGTTCTCTCTCGTTGCTTTCGTTGCTCTCTCGTATCTGATTAAATGATCTTCAATTCTGTTTTAGTAACTACTTGTATATTGAAGTTAACTGGATAAGATTTCTATATGACGGCTTTTACATGTGATAGAGACCATGTATAGCTTATATATACCCTACATATTGTGTCTTAATAACATCTCTATCAGCTCGATTGGTCCGATGAGTTCCATAAGAACACAATTATTCACAATGGAGATATTTACTTACACTGGGAAAATCAGCGTAAAATCTTAGCAATCAGTGTCGTATGGCTATCAGGACTGGCATCGCCCTCTCACCCTAGCCAGCCCTGCTCATGCTGTACCACATGATTAACTACTTAGTGGCCGGAGTGGACAATAAGTGGAAAACCGCAGGCCGCAAAAACCGAAAAGCCGAAAACTGAGCCTAAGCCAAAAACCCGAAAGACCCAGTTGGGGGAGGGAAGAAACAAACAATCACAACAATTTGCCACGCCTACACAAGTAGAGGAAGAAGCAGCAGAGAAACCGCATAAGCACGCGCGCTTCAAAAAAATATCCGTTCGCATTTGACGCTGAGCCAACGGCGGTCGCATTAGCCGAGCAACACCCCCAACAACAACCCCAACCCCGACCCCCACGCAGTCCCGGGCTAAACAATGGAAATCGGGCTTGCCGAGGCGCAAGGGAAGAATGGATTTAAAGCTGGGGAGGAAGCTTCATAAAAAGCCATTTTGTGCGGTTTGTTCGATGGGCTGGGGAAGGGAGAATGGGAGAGGGTGGGGTGGGAGCTGGGGTATGTAGTTCTCTTTGCACCCTGCCATTGACACTGCTCGAATGACATTTATTTTATTCGCAACTTCCGGCTTGCAGACGTCGGCAAACATCCGGGCTCGTCATACTTTTTGTGTGCCTAATGTCTGCCACTTGACTGCCGGCGCGTATTCGGCAATTAAGCAGCCCCAAAGACAAGGGCTTGACTTTGAGACCGACTCCCGAGCAGCCAGGGGACTAGCGCACAAAGAAGCCAACCAGTTCCCAAACGCTCGAACGGAACGGAACGAAACGAAACGGAAGACTGAACGGGAGAGCGGGTGGCTGGAACGGCTGCTGCTCCGAGTTAATTGCCAGGGCAGAGCAGCGTCTTTGTCTCTATTGATGCACTTCATGTTAGCTCTCCTTCCCTCGTACTCTCTCTCTCTCTCTCTCTCTATCTCCCTCTCTATCTCATTGTGTCTCTCTTGTTGGGCTGCTTTGATGAATTGTGCGGTTAACGATCCCAATTTGATGAGTAGTCCTTTTGATGGTTTAAGTAAGTGGACGTGAACTGCTATCGCTAGTGGTTCAACATGTTGTATTATGTAAACACACAGGCGCCTTAGGAGCTGCAGTTGGAAATCTCAATATCTTTGCAATGATTATTTCCTCAATTTAGGAATATATTCTTAAGAGAAACTTTTACAAGTTAAATTAAATACAAGTTTGAAAGGAAATCAATATTTAAATATTGATCATCTTTTGCTTATTCACTGAGAGATTTACTTATAAGGGGTTTTGATGTAATTGTCGAGAGTTCTATTTAAAATCCTATACATAATATAATGAGATAGAATTTTGGTACTCAATAATAATGAGTAAATTTTGCAATCTAGTTCAAAGCTCAGCTCAGCCATTAATGGATTTATAATTACAATTTTATGCAAAGTATTTCTTATTTGTTCAACAAATTATAATTTAATTCTAGTGTATATTTTCTGATCTCAAAACAGGAAAAACCCCTACTTCAGGTATATTTGTGAACTATTTCCAGAGGGAATAGCTCACGCCTTGCTTGATATGAACTGATCGACAGTATAGACATACATATGCATGTATATTACCGCAAGTCCATGCATGAGAACTTGTTTATTCCATGCTCGAGCTGGAAGTTCTGTAAATTGGCTCTGTGGCTGGGTAATTGTTTCGCTTGGTTTAGGTATTCGATTGCGATGCGATTAGATCTGTCAGTGAAGGTGACCCTTCCCGCTGCTCTGCTGTCGTTGCTTTTATTGCTCTGAGATGTCAACCAGCGCAGACAACAACAGCTGTCTCCTTTTTTTTTTAGTTCAGTTCGTGCTCTTTGTTTTTGTTCACTTCCAACGCATTTTTCATTTTACAATTTCACATCGCATTTACATAGCTCTCTCTGTGTGTGTGCGATGCTTATCACATTCGAGGACAATTGCGGCTGCTGCGAGCTGTGCACGTTGTGGTAATTTGATATCATTGTTGTATAATTTGGCATTGCCTGGCATAAGTGCTGCGTAATTAGCAAGGACATGCCCACAACAGAGCCAACCGCACAAAGGGCGGCGACGCGTCGAGTGTGCTGTACGGCGGGATTTGGCACCGAGAAATTCTTTGCTGACATTGCTCATTTGTCATTTTAACAAATTTATTTTGTAATGAATGCCTCACACACACACACACATACACACGGACAGGCAGGCACTTAAGCCAACACATCAATTAATTCTGAAAGCATTAACATGCTCCTCCGACTCCAGCCTCGAACAACGCCAACTGAGCCACATTGTTTCGTTGCAGCCTTCGTCTCCTGGATGAAGTTCTATTCGACATTTCCCAAGGAGCTGAAGCCCATCTTCAACGTGCGCATCGCGCACATGGGCCACTTTGCCAAGAGCTTCGCCCTCAAGGAGGCGCCCAGCAAGTTCGCCGGCCAGCATGCCGCCCCCAAGGCGGCCCCGCCCACCAATCGACTGACCTACACCGAGCGGTATTTATCCCATTCAATTGCATCATTTGATTAGCGAATTAGTGTATCGAAAATCATTGATCCCTTCATCATTTGCAGCGATCCCGAGAAGGTGCAGCAGGCGAAGCGCGAGAAGCGGCGCCTCTACACGACGACGGTCAGCGGGGAGGTGAGGCAGACGCAGCAGCAGCAGCAGCAGCATGGTGCAGCGGACCGCAGGAAGATGGGTGGCAATGGCAAAAGCAGCTTCATGAAGAGCCTCAACAAGTCGCGCGCCCTCACGATATCCGAATTCGACAGCGGCTTGCCCGCCATCGGAGAGCCCAAGCGGCGCAAGCAGGCGTAGTCCAAGGTCTAGGCGAAGGACGGAAGCTGAAGGATGGAACTGGAGCTGCATTGGCTGCTGGAGTGTCGACCAGACGGCCCCCATTTATGCGCGCCATTTTGTTCGGGAGCGCTGTTCAAGCGTTTAATCGAAAAGTAAATTGCCTGCAGTTGAGGCGCGCCGGCGGGACAGCGCCGTCTTATGTAGATAAAAAATTCCGGGCAAGCTAAGGCGCCCAGCCCATAAAAGTTTCATTTTTCTCAACTTTTAAGCCCGGACGTCCTGCGGGAAAAGTTGCTGCTGCTCCGGCATCAGCGGCATCAGCGCTGTTAGCATATTTAAGGCTCATCTTTACAGTTAGTTTTCGCTTGATGTTCGCTCCGTACATATATAGTCTATATATAAATCGTTTTTTTTTTACTTTATGTAATATGTTTTTAAAGGCAAATATTAGAAATCCATTTTCCGCTCACTGCAGACTCGTTCAGTTTTAAAAATGTCAATCTCTGCTGGGCGCAGGAGCGGGGTGGGGGCGGCACGTGTTGGCCGCCTTTTTGTGCAACTGAAGCGCGTAATTTGTTGGACAAGCCATAAATAAATATGAAACATAAACGCATAAAAAATCAAACGATTTGCTATCGCTTTACTTAGTTTGCTTTTGCTGCCGCCTTGTCCCCCTCCGCACCGCCCTATCGAAAGCGTGCGGCAATATTTGCGCAGGACACGTGCCAGGCGGAGGTGGGCCCGGCCGTAGCCGCAGCCGTCGTAGCCGTAGCCGTAGCCGTGGCCATTAATAGCGAGCCGAATGCGGCCCAATTAAAAGGGGCCAGCGATTGATTTTTAATTAGTCGCCTTATTGACGGTTTGTCTGGCTGACAGCCACAGCTCGAAAGTTAAATTGGTCGACCAATCAACCCAGTAGCAGTAGGCCGCCCCTCCACCCTCGTTCCGCCCTTCACATTGTTCTGCTGTCAAGCGGCCACGGATTGCGTCGAGTCCTAATTACGTGCGAGCGTCGGCATATGAAATAATATTTTGATACAGGTGTCCCGGCCACGCAGCCGACAGTTGACTTTGCCGACGCCCGAGTAGAGTGCTACTGGGTATACCCACTAGAGCAGGCAGCCTAGCCCTAGGCCAGTCTAGTCGTCTATTTGCCAAGGGATAAGCTGAGTCTGTCCACTTCAATCAGTGCTCTTAAAACATTGGGTTTGCACAGGTGTAGGCATATATAATTTATAGATTTTTTTTATAGATATTATAAATTTAAAAAGATATTGGAATTGGCGGCTAATTGAAAGTATAAAGACAAATGAGTGTGACTGCTATTGTTTACAGATAATAATAGATCTGTTAATGAAATATATATATGTACATATTTTGTTATAGCAATATCAGAAATACATAAATGTATCTGTAAATGTAAAAACTTACATCAATTTATTGACTGTAGATCGTAATTGATCTGTTAACTATATTTCCTAATGAAATACATGCAGGACTGTCCATATTCGACTGATCCGTCTAGCAGCCCTATAAAGTGGACCATACTCGACGGAACTCGATTTTTTTAAATCAAAGACATTAAACGGTAGATTTGCTGAAAATACCTTTTAAATAGGATATCTCTCAAAACATATAGAGCTGCCAGATGGGTCTGTCGAATATGAACAGCTCTGTATTTTGTTATAATATTATGAATAACATATTTTATTATAGGAATCAAAGATACATTTGTATGTTTGTCTGCAAATATATTGCAGATGGAACTTTGAAGCTCTTGCTTGTCTATTTGAATTGTAATTGGTAACTACATATGTGTATATAGTGCATATAGTATTGTGTATAATGTAAAAGTATCAAATATATATATTAACCATCATAAGGAGGGAGCAGACGACGTGTTAAGCTTAAATGTAGAATAGCTTCTATAATACTGTAATGATTAGACATACAATTTCTTTTATCTGGACTCTGTTTAAATTTACCCTAAAAAAAAAGTGGACTCTTCACAATTTCAGCATATGCTAAAAATTTTTAAAATTTGTCATGATTCTAGTAAATCTACATTGAATATTTCGCTCAATATTTGGCAGTCTGAGCTATCTACTTTTTTCCACGGAAAAATTAGTTTTTGAAGATCTTTATTGAAAATTATTTCGTTCGTCGACTAATTGTTCCCAATCTTCGCTATGAGATTGATGGACTTAACAATTGTTTATTATCTGGGAAGTAAAGAAATCCGTTCTGCCTACTCTGAGAGAAGTATCTAAAGACGTGATGTCCTTGGACATCAATATCAATATTAAAAGTAGAACGGAAATCCTTTAAGTTCTTGATATAGTGTGTTTGTAATTCCAAGTAGAGTCAGCAAGTGCCGTCCTGGCTGTTGGTTGGCCAGTGGTCGCTTGCAAAGGGTTGTTGAGTGTTTCTAATGCGATTGCACTAATGGCTTGAATTATAGACGCATTAGGGTAAATTAAAATCCTCCTCGTCCAATGGCCCTGCCGGGGGTTGTCCATATGCCGGTTGCCAATAAAAAGCCAACTCACTTAGTGCCAGCGGCTTGACCCCCCGCTCAAACGACTAGAGAGCGACCCTCGAGGGCTGGCGCGATTGCGGGCTGGGGATTATGGGGTGGATTTAACGCTTTAAGTGGGGGCGGACGTGCCAGAGATGAGGTGTGAGCCAGAGGGAGAGAGAACAACGATGTTGAGCTGTAATGAAGTTGTAGCGGCTGCATCAACAATGCCATTGCCGGACGGCTCCATTGTGGTCAGGTGCAAATGTTGCAGGTTTTCATTCAAATCGAACAGAGAACACGGAGAGGGAGGCACTAACACACCCACTCACAAAATGTATAAAAACGGAAAATGGAAAAATGGTAAAAAAAAAGAAAGGTGAAACCCCAACAGCTGTCAACATTTCTCCACGGGCGGGGCGGTCGGGAGAAATCACTTTGATTATGACAATGCTCCGACCCAGGCTCGTTGACAATTGAGTGGCACAAAGGATGTGGCAGTGTGGCCTGGTGGCAACTAGCGGACGAGGCCCGCATTGGACTTGTCACCTTATTCCGGCACATAAAGAGCCTCGATTCATTCATCTTTTTTTTATTGTTATATAATCTAACTAGAATTAAGCACATTTTCGCGGCTCTGACAAAACAATCAAGTTCTTTCAATTAAAGAGTAAATGTAATATCCAAAAAGAATATTGATGCCTCAATAAACGTATATAAGTTTTTAATTGGCTAAGAGATCTGCGAAGCTTCAGCCTGTTTACTTGGTTGAAGTAAATCATGCCCGTGCTCTAATGCATTAGCCCAATAAGCAATCAAAGTCGGACTATCCTATTTGAACAGGAAATCAAAAAACATCACTCCCAGCACGTAACTCTTAATAGAGCAACTATTTAAAAGACCATTACTCATTCCTTGCGAGATGAATAAATTCTACTGGATGATATGCAAAGATTCTACTTATACTTGCAGCTCAGTTTGTTGAAAACAATCATCTCATTTCGCTTGAAGTCTGCTGAGACTTCTGTTAAATATCAATATGATCTTATCCTTAACCCACTGAATTCGTTCAAATTGCCTTTTAAGGCATATGGACACCGGGAACTCTATTCGAATTGGGATTCCTTAAACAAATTTTAATATTAAAGTTGTAAGTAATAACAGTTTTTTATGGATTTTTAGACTTGTACTAATTTAGCTCTACCATTTAATATAGAATTGTGTTAAATTAGTTCAATCACTGTTGAGTTATCTTTTGTTTTCCTACTTAAAGATATTCCTGGTTTCTATAAAGTAATAAAAGTAGACTTATTTGTTTGATGAGGTTAGATATAAATTAAATATATAATATATTTATGTGAGTATATTTTGTATGATATTTGCAATTAAATATATTCAGATAAAATTAGGACTATTCTAGATCGTTCTATAATACTTAGGAGTGATTTCTGAATGAAGTATGAATTGGTAACTCTTGATTGATGCAAATAATTATTACGAGAACAAAGAAACAATAAAAAAAAAAAAAAAATAATAATAATAATAATAATTAAAAAAAAAAAAAATAAAATATTAAATAATAAAATAAGAAAAAATAATAAATAGTCTCATAAATAATAATTCCAACTGAAATATACCAATAGAAATATTCCAGTTATCAGAAATTGATTTTGAATTTCAAAATATTCACAATCTACTTGTTTATTGCTTTATTAGATTGTTTCCTCGAATCGGTTTGTTGATTCCCCTTAACACTTTGCAATTGCAAATGTTTTACAAAGTCGGCGGAATCCAAGTGGCTTTGGCACTGGCACACTCACTGGCAAAGCCAAAGGCAAATCCGAACCCGCACTCAAACCCAACTCCAATCCCAATACCAAGTCCAGGTCCAGTCAATTCCGCAAAAGGTGCGCGTCTGCTGCCATTTCATTTTATATACATATTTTTATTTTTTTCTCTCACTCACACTCTTTCTCCCTCTCTCTCTCTATCGCGCTCTCCCCCACTCTCTTTCTCTCTCTGTTAGCCATTTCCAATTTCCAATTATAACGCAACGCGATTGCGTGCACAAAATGACATGCTTTTATGAATTCGCGATGATCTCGAGACGGGCAACGGGCTGAAGCGTTGATAGGCACTCGGTTGGGTGTTTGTGTGTGTACATATCTGTATTGGGATACACACAGGCACACATACAAATGTGGAGCAAACGAGGACAGGGATACCCTTTAAAGGAAATATGATTTCATTTGACGGCGCTGAGGCCCCACAGCACCCACACAGCCAAAGAGGCCGGAAATCGGGATGAACACAAATTATATACGTATATACATATTATATGTATATATATGTATGTGGGTATGATGTGATGTGAGGCTATGCCTGCTACGTGCTACGTGCTACTCCTGCTCATGTCTCGCTTTCTTTTATGGCATTGCTATCCAATTATGTTCATTAAATTGGCATTTGAAATTAGCCAAGGCAAAGGATAGCTGAAAGGAGCCCGAGCCGGAGCAGGAGTCGGGAGTTGAGAGTTGATAATGCTGGCGTGGCTGCCTGATAAACTACTTAATACTTATTTAATTTGTGCCTCTGATCCGAATGTAGTCGAGCATAATGCGCCGCACAACTGTCATAAAAATCACGCAGCGGAAATTATTTTGTCACCATTTATAATTGCATTGTCACA